GACATCAATTCAACTGGGACAAGCAGTGTTCAAATATTAGACAGAGGAAACAACAAGAACGCTAGAGAATTTTTAGGAGCTTGGCATTCCAGTGAATCATCAATAAATAGACACATAGAAATAGACAAAATTTATCAACCAATAAGAAAGAAACTTCACACACAAAGGGTCAAATCTCAAGTCAAAGAAACAATCAGTTCCAATACAAGTAACCTAGAAGGTGTGAAAACACACAAAAACAACCAATCACATCCAAGGTGACCAGGAGAGATGATTAGTAAACTCGTGGTGAAATCTAAAGGCTAACTTCAAATTGAAGTATGCACTGAAGATGTCACCTAGTAGAGCTATGAAAGCTTCACAAATTAACTATCCAGCTCAGAGAACACAACCACATCGAAATCATCCACCTGAGCTGCAAATCTTCTCTATCAAATGTTGTCCTTTCTGGTCAGCCATCTGATCTGGCAAAGACAGCTTTTGATTAGAGTCTGAAACCTGTCCGAAATGCTTTTGGTGACATGCTACTTATCTGAACCCTATAGAAGACCTGACTATATAACAGTGCTGAAAATCGGAATCTTGCTCTTTACGTTTCAGATTAATGTTCCATTTTGTTTCTGCGATTCAACCTTTGACACCTTCGTCTGAGTCGCCTAAATTTGAAACGATGCTGCTCAGATAAGTGAAAGGAGTGATCTTGTTCAGCTTACTCCTGTTTATGGTCCAATTGAAGTCCTGTATTCATTGCCTTCTTCTTCCGTCTACTTTTTGGTTTCCGTCTGTAGATCTTCAAATTACATATAGGACATTCTAATGTATAACGAGCAGACAGAAAATCCAAATTACTGTCAATTAGAAAAAAATGTTAGAGTGACCTCAGATAATTTGAGTATTATTAGAGTTATTCGAATGATTAAATTTCATTTGTTATCAAGAAGTTTTGACCTGATTTTGGAGGAATTGTTATCAGCAGGATGAGTCTTGATATCGCATTCAATAATACCAATTTTTTTCCTTCACGTCTCTAGTGAAACATAGGGCCTCAAACTAGTGGCTTGAAATTTTTCTAACAGTGTTTAATTTTACAGGAAGAGGTTGGTAGCCTCATGCCCAAACTTTCCTCTTTACCAGCATTTTTTCTGGTTTAGCGAGGTAAAGGAGGGCGTCTGTGACCGGGGATCGAACCCCAGACCATGTGTATGGTCGGTGAGTGTCCTAACCACTGTGCCACCAACACACCAGTAATAACAATAATATTATTTAATGTGACGCTATATACTATTTATAAGTTGACTGATTGATATCAGTAGTTGGGAACCGCCTCTCACATCAACCGGCATTGCTCTCTATCTAAATCGAAGTCATTTAAACACCGGGTAGTCATTTCTCTGGTTTGGAGCTGAACTCATCAGGGGTGTTTCCTATTTTATACAGTCGAGAGAGACAAATCAGTTGAAACCACCACAGTCTGAGGTGAGAAATTATCACATTTTGCTGCGTAATGAAAAAAATATTGAGAAGACAATAAATGACCGATCTGTTTGATACGATTTGTGGTAATTAAGAAGACAAGTAAAACAACATAACTGGATATACTACTGACTAACTGTTTTCAGTAGTTGATATAATGATCGCAGTCATCACTAAAATCTAAGCTTATTTACACATTTGAATTTTCCGTCGATAAAATTTAATGGTGTACAATTATAAACTAAATTTTTAAATGATATTCAAACTGGTGATTACACAGGTGAATTTTATGACACTGATAAATGGACAAAGAGAACTTAAAGCAGTTAGATCCATTTTCAGCCTGACTGTACGGTATAAAATAAAGAGAAAATTGAATTTTCTGAATAACTCGTTTACCCCTTACCAGAATATGAACTAAACGCATTGTATGAGCCTGATGCTACTAATCATTTGCTCATGTTGAATTATTTGGTTGAAAGCTTAGTTATTAAGCAAAGGGAGAAGCATCTCCAAAAAGCATGTCTGCAACCTCAAACGAACTGACGTTGCCTTGGATATTCAAACACGCATCACTCAGTGCTACAGTAAAAGATGTTACCACTGCGCTACTTTGGCTCGAGAACTTCGAACACAATTATCTATGTGTATATGAATATCTTAATCACGCGTTAAAAACCATTAGATGTTGTTCATTATGCATGCTTCTGCAGTCTTAATTTCTCAGAAGAATAATTAGATCTGGTCAACTCAGATGATGACGTCTAAATAGTACAATTCACTAATAAGAGGTTAAATAAAGACTAATTACAATTAATATGCATAAAAGCGAACTTCAACTCCTAGCCAACTCACTCTTAAGTCTTACTTAGGCAGTAGTTAGCTGATATGACCATCAAATATAAATTGATAGTTACAAGTATCTTGTGCTAAAGAAATTTCTAAATAGCCGATTTATGAGACTACTGTCCTAATTCTTACTTACAGTGACAACTACCATAACTTCATACCACAGACACGCAAAGCAAAGAAGAAGAAGAAGAAGACGACAGACCACTGAGTGGAGGGCTTTTACTGTCTCGGATCAATAGTCAAATGACCTTGACAGCAATTCGATATATAGGCTTAAATGAACCTGAATTAAATGGCCTTCACTCGATGAGCCAAAACAGTTAAGAACCAATAGGGTTTAGAGGTCATAAGTGAGGGAAAATGCAAACATCATTGTTCTGTAAAAATAAGTGCAATATTTTGGAAAAATCAGGCGAGAATGTTGGGCGTGAGGCTAACAACCACAGCACTGAAAAAAAACACCACTGCTACTGAATTTGAAAGCTGAATTTTAAAAGTGGTTGTTCGACTCGAAATGCAAAGGAATGGAAAAAAGCAAACTGTATGAATGTTGTTTTATGTTTAACATAACAAACAACCTAGACATAAGTCTTGTGTTTATGACTAATCAAATTCTGTCCAGATTTTGTTTTTGTTTTTTACAAAAACTGGACAGTTAACAACTGTGTTTAAAACGTTTATCTGAGTGTAGGTGTTCAAGTCTGTCTATTCACCTCACCATAGTTATACATATGTACAATAAGTTTCTTTAAGTTTAGCGCTGTACTTGTGAGTCGAATTATATTACCAAATCATGATGAAGACGGTATCTTACTTTACTAATCAATATTGAGTGTAATAAAAAGGTGTAAAGACCAATAGGTAGAGAATTTTACGGGAATACCAGCTGCGAAATGCATACAGGATAGTCTTTATTGAAGCACTGATTTGCAGGAAGTTGATAGAATAGAAGTTTGATTGGGAACTGATTTCATTTAAGAAACCATTGGAAACCAGGGAGTATTGGACAGCTGTTTTGCTCCTCTTTGGGACTCTTCAGCAGTATTTACCCATGACAGCGCCTAAGATTGAACTCAGGACCTTAACTATTCAGTCGCTGGCATAGTTCACTGCATATAAAGTGCCACCGGCAGCCATTATCACTGGGATGTATCTGTCTTCAAATACATTTTTGTAGACCCTGACTGGTCACGATTTCCCACTAGAACTCTAGACAGCCTTATCCTACAGTCAGTCACTAGTGAGCACAAGAGCAGTTTTCAAGCGATAGTTTACTTGAGATTTAAATGATTTCAAGATTAATCCCAAACTGACATCAGTTAGAGAACCGCGGTTTAGTTGAGTTTTGATTGTTGTAATTAACTTCAGAATTCATATTTCATGTATTTTACTGGATCTTGAGTCCTGAAATGTATAAATTTATGTCTTGGTATAATGATAATAATAATAGCTTAATTCTGAAAAAACGTGTTGATACATAAAACTGAATTCTCAGACTGTTATGTGGCTGAATCGTAGCGTCAGGACTCATTTCTTCTTTTTTCGTCAGAAGGAGACATACTACTGAATTTCTAGTTGGCAAAAAAGCTATTTCCATTACATTTCGAATGATTCAGTCATTAGAAATAAAGGGGAAGATTCATAGTTCAGCTGCATAATGTCGATATGGTCGGGTTCTTTTAGTTGGTTGGTTTATAACTGCCAAGCTCTCATCATCTTCCTAGACTATATGTTCAGAGCGAACTTCCATAGGAATTCAACTTACCTGAATTCTCTGTGGATGATGTAGTTGTATCTTTAGACAACTTTTGTCGTGATTGATTGTTAATTTGTATGATTATTGATCGTTTTTATTGACTTGAAATTTGACTGTATTTGTGATGCGACTTATTCTTTATTAGGTGATAAATTTGTTCTATAATAATTTGTGTGTTAATTGCTGATTCACCTGAGTACCAGGATTCTAGAAACTCCTTGATATTTCCTGATGTTTCCACTGTTTTAAACTTCTAATTTTTCCTGGTCACATTGGTTCCCACAATTACCTACATGCACTAATGGGCAGGAATACATCTGCTGTCTTTTGACCACTTGATATATATCCATATAAATGTGTGTTTGTTTGACAGTCTGTATATTTGCTATGTATATATGGATCGATATTCCATTATAATTAGCCAATCATATTAAGACTGTCTATTGATTTGTTCATTTTGAATATTCGCTCACACACTTGTTCGGACATTCATATTTTTTGCTCTCACACACTTGTGTGACATTGATTCTCCTTGTGTTTTGGAAAATAGAAGTATCATCGCAAACCTAGTGGTCTTCTGATTTCCGTCTTTCTTGCGTCTGGACTATTAAATTCTCGACCAGTACATAACACTACTAGTTTATGTTCTTGGATTCTTAGTCGAAGGGAACGCCCACTTTGATCAACAGAGTATTTGTCATGGTTCATACTGTTGATTTTATAGATGGTGTCGATCTTATCTTCTTTTGATGTTAGATCTTTTGGTCTGTATTAAATGAATGGATGAACGATTGTGTTGGTTTGTGTGCTGTATCTATTCCTAATGGTTTTAGTATCTGGTAATTTATTTTTTTCTTCCTTAAATTATTGATTTTATCTTACAATTATTTTTTATTTTATTTCTTTTTCAAAAATTAAGGGCACTACACTTCATGACATCAAGGGGAAAGGTAAGTAATGTCTTCTGTTTTCTTTTTAAAAGAATAAGAATTTCTGCTTGTTTAGCGCGCTTATTTCAAGGTCATGTTATTGTTGCATGTCATTTGTTTAAGTTTGTGCTTGTGGTTATGATTGACACATTCTGGCTTTTCTTGCATGTGAAAACAAGCCTAAACGGACAAACATATGTTTTGCATGATTTGATATTTCCTACTTTTGGTTTGGGTAGCAACAAATTTAATGTTATTATGACTTTAGACCAAAAGGGAAAACTTGTAAACAGGAGGGATATTTACTTGACCAATCACAACAACATGATGTCGTATATATATGAATAATAATAATAATAATAATAGCAGCTTTATTCTAGACTAAAATATTTACACAATTCTCAGTATGATTTACTGCAAAATGTTTTCTCTTCTTCCATTGTACACTATGTGACACATTGTTGTTAGATCTGTAGTAAAAGCCAATCTCTTATGATTGTTTTCTTTCGTCTCTGAGATATGCACAGCGGTAAACTGAAAGCCAGTTGAAAATGTGCCGAATTATATTTTACGACCGTAGAGAAAATATGATACACTGTGTTGGATGGTAGTCCATTGATCTAAACACACCGTCATCGTCAGCAAGGGAAGGAGGTTATCAGTTATCTTCACTTTAGAACTCCAACTATATATATTATGGTTTTATAGAGGTATAAATTCAAGCACTTTTACGTTACATTCTGTTTCTAAAGCGATAATTTCTTTGGATTTATAACAGACGTCTAATTTTATTGTTTAATTTAATCTCAAAAGTTAGATTTCTTCACGAACCAACACTAGTTAGAAAGATCATTAGAAAGCCATCAAGGAGAACTAGATAGATGTTTCGCCTCATTTTGGGACACTTCTACAATGTACACTCATGACCTGACCAGCTATCGAAACCGAGACCTTCAGGTTACTGGACGAACATCGTTTATCATTTATCCGCTTGGGTAGGAATTTGATGACTCTTGAATTCTAACTTTATCAGCTTGTGATCTAAGGATCTCCTCACTTTTACTTTAGCTAGGGATTCATTTCATCTCGACATAGTGAACCCCGTTAGCAACGACTTTTGACTACATCTACTGGACATCCATCCAATCAGTAGTCCTAAATGGGCTGGAGATTGATATAAAGATGATTATTTAAATTCATTTGCATTTTCTGTTACAATAAAAGTTGGCCCTCATGACTCATTGGCTTGTTGGATAGCTCTTTGGTGTTTGAAAAGATATGTATTGGGTTCGAGCTCCGTCCAACTAAGAAATCCCAAATAAGACGACACGCACTGAAAGTCACCAACTGCTGACGTATTACAAAATAATGGCTGGCATAGAATCGGATTGCACGACTTGTAAAAGATTGTCTTGGAGGGTCTATATAAAATCTCCTATAAAATTTACTTGACTGAAAGCAAGCATAAAATATTATATTAACTAGGCAAAGATTTTTGTATTTAGATAGAATTCATCATGAACCGATATGATTTAAAAGATCATTTTGAAAATCAGAGCAAACCTGACACCTGTTTCGTTCTGACTTGATGGCTTTTAGGCCGTACTTATGTATGTTCCATCCCTGATGAAACCTAAGATCTTCAGGTTAAGGTGGAAACGTGTTACTATTCAACTATGGGCTTGTTACCCATTGTCTGATGAACTCTAAATACTATTGAAACTAGGACGAAACAGTTATCCGGTGCTTATTGACCTCTATTGGTTCCATAACTGATCTAACTTCGTACTGAAATCTACCAGAGGATAAGACCTAATTTCTGAACTATTATTATTCATTCCACGTGCTTTGGGTAGGAAAAGTGTGTCATTTTCATAACACTTGATTTCCTCTCATTATTTGCATCTGGTTCCACCAATCGGCACAGTCCAAAGATTTCGCCTTCGCATGTCACACTTAGACACACACCCAACTCTTCACCTAACATTCCATGCCTAGTTTACTATCCGGTCCTTACACCAGAAAAAAGGGATAGTTAAGCATGGAGCTAGGAACTTCACCATATCATTATTACAACTTCAACTTACATAAGGAATAAACTTACCCTCCAGTAGGATTGAGAAGAATTCGGGGATAGAAGATACTGTCACATGGAAGTCTTCAGGAAGCCAGTCATCTGATGTGTTTTCTTTCAATTAAAGCAAAACCGAGCCTTAAAAACAGAAAAAGCTTCTAGTTCAGGTGGATGTTGCTGATGATGTTGTGTCCCTTGAATTGGATGCTTCTGTTATCATTCAGTGTGATATCTCCAAGTCTGACCTAAGTGTGAACAGTACTGATATCTGATGGACTGATGAACGTCTTTTTATATAAATCAAAGTGATCAATCAGTTTATTATTCAGTATGACTTGTAAATGAATTTGTATCCATCTTTTAGGTGTTACTTGTAAGTTTTAACCAATGTCATTCATTATAAAAGTTAGTAAAATGCTTTTCTTCGAAATCTTACTTACTGTAACCTTAGTAGAGTTACTCAATGCATATAAGCAATATATTCTGTTCAGGAAGATACCTTTATCAAATATCCTAAAGGTAATGCCGAAAATACTTAACAGGAATTCTGATATAAAAATGTGCAACTTCGAGGAAAAACCCTAACTAGTAATACTGTCAAGTGAAAATCAAATTCGCTATTTATAATTTACGCTGTTTGAGATGAAATGTCATCACAGTTTCTTCTGGAAACCCGAATTAATATTCACATCATAAAATTTAATCTGCTTCATACCATAAGTGGTATTCAAGTAAAACCATATGCCAGTGATATCAACCATTAGTGCTTGCTGTTGAAAACTGCAAATTAATTGGAATTACTACGTCATCCATGCGGTTTGAACTGATCCAACTCTCTGACCTGAGTAAAACTGGATACGCAGCTTGTGAGCTCGACTTCTGACAAACGAAGTAGCCATCTGATGTTTAGATCACTTCAATCTTGCTAACCAGCAAGCACTATTGGTTGGTGTGAGTGCTATACAACTACTCATCTCGATTAATCAGTAGTATACGGTTTCAATGTTATCAGGTGTTTTAATATGTTTCGTTTCTCGTCTGATGCACTCCCTAACCTGACCTACTTCATGTGTTACTATCAAATGACTGACTGACTGACTGGTTTCAACATAAAACTTTGCACCTATGTGCAGCAGTTCGAGTCACCACACCCATGTAGCACACAAAGCAAGAGAAGAAAGTAAAAAGAAATGCAAAATAGAGACAGTAAACAGAGATATGGGGCAAAAAGAATAGTAACACTGAAGAACAATATATTTTTATTGGAAATTATAGGTCACAAGGAGTGGATGCATCTGCGCCAGCCACCGAGAACTATTTTGGGCCATATCACCAATTGTCTCAAGCCATTGGTTTTTACCGTCCCGAGGACCCCAACCAGAAAGTCTACACTTTCCTACGTGGCTTAAACTAACTATTGTGAATTTCACTGACTTATGAAGCCATGTTTTGGCGTGACCACCATTAGCTCTTTTCCAACCTGATCCATCCTATGTCAGCTAACATCGCCCGTCGGTTGAGGAAGGCAATGACTAGGCATGCATAACACTTGTCCTAACTATCTCAGTCGACAGAACTCCACAGCATCTTCGATTGATTTCTCCTCCTTACCTAGCAGTCAACCGATTCCTAATCTTAATATTGTTCACCGTATCAAATGCGAAAGAAAACACCATCTCAACTGAAACTTTAGGAATAGTTTGAAGTCCCATGTTTTCTACTTGAAATATTGGTGAATGAAAATAAAGGGAATAAAAATAAAATCAATAGTGATAAAACATTCATTTATTTACTTTATAAAATAATTGAAAATCGAACATTATATTAACTTGAACTCTTCGTCATAAATCATAATCATCTAAAGAGGATATAAAACACTAGAAAAAGAAATAAATATTTCTGGTAAATAAGTTTGGGAATTTCAGGTAGTGATTATCTCTCTAACTCTTAAGGTCAAACTAAGGTTACCTCAAGATTAATGAAGTGGTTCAGGCTGCAATCAGTTGCTTTTCAACTGATATAGGTACAAACTATGCATACGCATGAATAAGAAGATATAAAAACCTTATCGTAATTTGATGTTCTTATAGGCTTTAATCATGAGATGATGAAAATACCTGACCAACAGTAACAAACGCTAATCACTACCGATGGGAGAAATCTGAAGGAACTAGTTTCTTTCACTTACCCCGACAACTGTCTTGTTTTGAAATCTTCATTTCGTGCTATGTGCAGTTGAGATTGGTGTAGAGATCCATAAACACACCTGTCATAAAGAATATAATCTGAGTTTTTAACCCTTATATCAAGTCAATCACTGCTTCTTTGTACTTTGAAGACTTAACGAACACGTCACAAAAAGTATTTCTAATAGACTATTGCAGACTTTCATCAAAACCTACCTTTTTCGGCTTGACGATGAAGATCAGATAGCTAACCAGAATAGAGAAGCAAACAACGAAAATAGCTTGGTATTAGATGGTTGGAGGCAATTGGCAAGAAGCCCTAGACTTAGATTTCATGCTTGTTAGCACTCGTGAGCAAGGCACATCTTCAATCTTGAAGGAACTCATGTCTCTTCTGACGAGTGCCAACAAGCGTGAAACCTAAGTCCAGGGCTTCCTGCCGATCGCCTCCAGCCATCTAATGACAACAATCCTGAATGTACCGTAACGGTGACATTGCAAACTTGACTGATAGAATACAGTCTGCTGTAAACAAAAAACTGGACACATGACACTAGTTAGTGACCAATAGAAAGAAGAACTTAGTTGACATCAAATCAATGAAGAACTTAATGCGTAAAAAAGGTATTCAGAAGGAAACAGAGATTGGTTAAACATACACTGAGTATGCATACATTCAAGCGATATCACACGGTAGTCAAGCAGTCGAGTGTAACCCACCTGGGAATCGACGGGTTGGGGATAGTTCTAAGGGTGACACT